AAGAGTGAAATAAAGGGGAATTAATAAAAACATATTCTCTAAATCCCGGTCCAAGATGTTGAGGTTAATGGAAACCACAAAATCCCTCTTCACAGGTTGAGACGAATAAAACCGTTTATGAACAGGGCACAGTTTTGGGGTGGTAAAGCTCTGTTGGTTCCCCAAAGTAGAACTTGATGGAATTAAGTAAAATTGAAGAGAAGGTATGTTCAGCATTCTGGGATGCCTACGGTGTTGGGTTTCATGTAACTGGCCACATCTGGGGAGTTTAACTTGCTCTTTTACGGGAGACCTTTCCTTTACATGCAGGACTCCCGGCGTTCTCCTTAGCAAGGGGCTCTACTAAATATAACTTTCACGCCGTCTCCAAAACTGGCCAGTTACTTCTCACCTCATCAGCTAACAGGCTTTGAATTCCAAGTGGCCCCTACATGAAATAAGCCTTGAGAGTCAGTTTAACATTTTGTATAATAATTTCCTGCAATGAATTTAAGTAGAAAAAAAAAAAAGGTGAAACCAGGTAATGTTTGAAAATCATAACAAAACAGGTGATCTCCTCAGGCCTCCTAAGATGTGAAGGGTGGGCTGTATCTTTTCACCGCCCCCCCCACCCCGCCACAGAGGCAGCTGGAAGCAGTTGGGGTGTAGTGAGCGAGGGCATGTATGATTGAGGGGTAAGAGAGATATACAACTGGGCTCACATTCTGGCTCTTCAGTTTCCTAGGTGAGATACATTGGGGAAGCAGCACTGCCTCTACTTCCTTATCTGTAGGATGGGAATAATAACAGTGTGTACTCAGAGAGTTGTTATGAGAGTTAAATTAGATTATGCATATGAAGTGCTTAACACAGTGCCTGGAATAGGGTAAAGCACTAAACAACAGAAGCTTTTATCATTGTACGGTTCTGCCCCTCTTGCATCCTCAGTTCTGAGGTTTGGGAGTCAGTGATTGTGGAGTCAGCCAGACTGCTCAGGTGGCCCCATCTCTTTCTGTCCTCCACAGGGCAGCAGCAGCTCAGACTCTCTGGAGGGCCAGGGCTGCGACTATGCCAGCAAGAGCTACGATGCCGTTGTCTTCGATGTCCTGAAAGTGACTCCCGAGGAGTTTGCTGTAAGTAACAGGACTGATGTGGGTGGCTGGGCACCATAACAGGGAGCCCGAGGGGGTCACTGCTCAGGGTTGTTTGCTCAGACTGGAAACAAGTCGTATATCCAACAATAGGGGATTGCCGAATAAAGTATTCTTTATGAAATACCATGTGGCATTAAAAAAGGGTGATGTCTGCAGGGAGGGATAAATTAGGAGTTTGGATTAAAGTATACACACTACTCTATATAAAACAGACAACAAAGAAGGACCTACTGTATAGCACAGGGAACATACTCAATATCTTGTAATAGCCTATAATGGAAGAGAATGTAAAAAAAAGAATATATGTGTGTGTATATATATATATGTGTGTGTGTGTGTGTGTGTGTGTGTGTGTGTATAGCTCAATCACTTTGCTGTACACCTAAAACTAACACAACATAGTGAATAAACTATATTTCAGTAAAAATTTTTTAAAAATAAAAAAACCCACAAATATTTTCAGTAGGTGTATTATAGTACCTGGTTTGGCAAAATTGTTGGAGCAGAAAAACCTTTGTACCTATCTGGTTACAGATGCATTACAGAATTAATTTTAATACTTGTTGCATTGCTATAAAGATCAAAATTAAAAAAGGAATTAAGGAAGGAATGTATAATATAATTATATGAAAGCAAAATAATAAATAACTGAAGGATAAAAAAACAGGAAGCTGTCTATCTAGGAATTTAACTACCTTGGAAGGCGTACACAATATATATGAATAGTAAGTGAAAGGAACAGGTTACAGCAGGGGTCCCCAAGCCCTGGGCTGAGGACCGGTACCGGTCCGTGGCCTGTTAGGAAGCGGGCCGCACAGCAGGACGTGAGCGGCGGGTGAGCGAGTGAAGCTTCATCTGCCGCTGCCCATCGCTTGCATTGCCGCCTGAACCGTCTGCTCCTCCCCACCCGGTGGAAAAATTGTCTTCCACAAAACCGGTCCCTGGTGCCAAAAAGGTTGGGGACCGCTGGGTTACATCACAACTTACAGAGAATAGTGCCATTTTTAAAAAGCATGCACAGCACCTACATATTTATATTTGCATAAGAAGAGGTCTAGATCCGATGTTTACATATTCTTAAATATGTGGATACCTATATAGCCAAACATATTATTTACTGTAGTTTCTGGTTATAGGATTCTAAATAATTGGAATTTAATTTTTCTTCTTTTTGTTTATTTGTACTTTCTATATTTTTACAATGACTGTTTTCTACAATGATAGACAATATTATTTGAACAAATTCTGTAATTATAAATTTAAAAGAATTGTTTTTCCTTCAGCCAGTGTGTTGCTGCTGGTCGGACCCTGTGCTTCTTTGTTGTGGAGGAGCAGGCTTGGCTCCTCGTTTTGCCATGACCTGGTTTCTTCCTTGTTCACTTTGAGGGTGGAGGGAGGATGTTGGCTCTGGGGTGACCTGATTGCAAGCGCTGCCCAGGGCTGCATTTCTCTGCAGAACCACGGAATTATTTCCGGCCATGCCCACTTTTTCCCCGTCCCCTTGCTGTAACAGGTTTGGTGCCCTCCAGGGGTCTTTGGAGCTAAGTGGGCCCCATCTCTTTGCTCTGCCATCACTTGCTCCCACGTTTACTTTGTGCCAGGCCATGCTGAGCCTGGCACATATGTCACCTCCCTCAGTGTGTCTGAGGGATCCTTTTAAAACCAGTGTAAAACTCTTTAGGGGCTCCCTTATACTAGAATGAGATCTGGAATTCCTCGTGAGCCTCCAGGGCCCCGTGGTCTGGCCAAGCCTTCTCTCCTGCCCCATCTCCTTGCTCCCCAGCTACACGCCAGCTTCCTCTTTCTTCCCCAGACTCACCTGGCATCTGCCTGCCTCAGGGTCCTGTGCTTCTTATTCCTTCTGTCCTAATGGCTCTTTCCCACATGTCTCCCAGTCTCTGTTCAGATGTCAGCCCTAGACAGGAATTTCACGGGCTAAAGTAGCATCTGTACACCACACGCTTCCCTGACCCTGCTCTGTTTTCTTCATATCTCTAATGACTGCCCTACATTACATTCTGTAATAGTGTTTTGTATGGTCTGTCTCCTCCACTAGAATGCAAACTCCCGAAGGACAGGAACTTTATCTGACTCTTTCACGGCTCTTTCCCCATTGCCCAGAATAGTGCCTCCCTCATAGTACACGTTAACTAGAAGAATTCAGTCCTCAGAACAACCTGATGAGGCAGATTATCAGCTCCCGATTTTCTAAGAAAGAAACTAAGGATCTAAGAGATTGTTTTTTTTTTAACCTGGATCATATAGCCAGATGTGGGCAGAGCCAGGTCTGAAACCTTCATCTCCTGATTATTCACCTAATGCTGGATGGTGATAACAAGGGCAGCTCCCACTTTTGAACACCTCCTTTGTCTAGGTCTTGTGCTAAATGTTTTACATGCATTAATCTAACATACTTTTTACCACAGCCTTACAAATTAGGCATATTTATTATTCCCAGTATACTGTCACCAGTATAGAGAGGAAAATCACCTCTTCACACAGATAGTAAGTGGCATTATCTGTCTGGGCTTTAAAACCAGGGCTTCTGACATTCTAGACCAGTAGAAATATAATCTGAGCCACATATGCAATTAAAAAATTTTTAGTAGCCACATTAAAAAAGGTGAAATTACTTTCAAAATATTTTTTATTTAACTTGCTGTATCTAAAATATTATCATTTCAACCTGTAAAGAACATGAAATTGTTGAGATACTTTGCATTCTTTTTTCACACTAAATCTTCAAAACTCAATGTAGTCTTCTAAACTTAAGAGTGCTGGCGACATTTCAGATCCTCAATAGCCGCGTGAGGCTAGTGGCCACTGTATTAGACAGCGTAGTGCTAGTCTGTCCTCTCAGGCACAAAACTATAGTGCGTCTCTATCCTTTAGAAGACATCATGGACCTTGCTGGCTGATGACTTAGCCTCTATATTCTATTTGCTTTTGTCTGCTTGTTGTATTTTTTTTTTTTGGCTGTGTTGGGTCTGTGTTGCTGTGTGCGGGTTTTCTCTAGTTGCAGCAAGCGGGAGCTACTCTATGTTGTGGTGCGCGGGCTTCTCATTGTGGTGGCTTCTATTTGTTGTGGAGCACGGGCTCTAGGCGTGTGGGCTTCAGTAGTTGCAGCACGCAGGCTCAGTAGTTGTGGCGCACGGGCTTAGTTGCTCTGTGGCATGTAGGATCTTCCCAGACCAGGGCTTGAACCAGTGTCCACTGCGTTAGCAGGCAGGTTCTTAACCACTGAGCCACCAGGGAAGTCCTGCTTGTATTTTTGAGCTGTGTTTTTTAGCTTCGTGAAAAGAATGAAGCAATAATGAGGTTTAAAAATCCCTTTATAGTTGTTCCCCACGTGGAAAGGCAGAGAGTTTGGCTGTGCCTAGAACATCATTGTCCAGCCAGACCCCTTGGTGAGCTTTTGGGCCTGGTTTTCTAGTCTCAGCCCTAGAGTGTTGCTCAGCCCAGCCCAGTCTGGGAAGACTGTAGGGAAGGGCAGTGAAGGCTCTGAGGGTGCAGCACTAATACTTGGCTACTCCTGCCAGAGCCAGCGTGTCTTCAGCTTAGATGTGAAGCCAGGTCCCCTGGGGTCTTTGGTCTTTGGGGAAGTATTGGAGCTGCCAGGTGTTGGAATTGAACCAGACCACCTGGTATTTTAGTTTCCTGTCTAATAATATGAAAGAAAGGAAAAAGCCAGACACGAGAGTCCAATAAAAAAATCATTTGAGTGATTCTGGGAAGATGGCGGTGGCGGCAGCATAGTTCTTTATTCTCCCTGAATCCCCACATAAAAACATCCAGAACAACTAGATAGCAAACCCTGAAATCCATGAGAAATATTTACAATAAAATTAGGTGTCAAGTTATCCCTATCAAACCCAAAATATAAATGGCTGGGGATACTCCACCAGTATCAAAAAGACCTGCAGAGTATCAGCTTCAGTATAAGAGAAAGCAGAAGTAAGTATTGGGGCATTTGACAGACCAGAGAATAGGAGAACCCCAGAATTTCTATCAGGAATTCACTGGAAAGTTCGGCAGGTTAATGTGAGAGTAGCAACTGAAATTGACAGGAATTTTGACCACTCAGATAATGGATGGGTGGAAGAGATCTGTGGACTAGCCCTATGAGCTCTTGAGACCAACCAACCAGGGCTCACTTCCAGAAGAAGGCTCCATATCAAAGAGAAATTCAGTATGGGAGTGGACTGAAAATGATCAGGATAGGGAAAGTTAAGGAAAAAGGAGGTCTGAATAAATGTGTGTGTGTGTGTGTGTGTGTGTGTGTGAAATCTCAAAAAACAACTGCATGTTGTTGAACACTACATGAAAGTAACCAAAAGAAGAGCTATATGAAGTTAGAAAAGCTACCCTGAACCATGTTCCCCTCTAGAAAATTAGGAAAAATAATTTTACATAAAAATAAGCAACAGAAAATTATTGATATCAAGTCTTTCAAAGTTATTATAAGAAAAAAAGAGTAAGGACAGAATCCTGTAGATAACGAAAGCATGCCAGAAAGGCATGCCTTAAAACAGATAAAAACTATAACCTTTCTATTTCAAAATAAGCTAAGAGAAGATATTAAGATCACACTGTAAGACATGAACAACATAAGTCTGAAATAGAAGAATCTCAGAAATGAGGTGGCAGAGTTAGGAAAGCATTGAAAATAAAAGTTATTTTGGAAACGAATGTTGAACTAGAAGGAACACAAGAATAGATAAACATAACAGAAAACGCCTTAAGGGAGGAAAAATTTTAAGATCAAAATAAATGAAGAAAGAGATAATAAGACTTTGAAAAAAGTGATAGGACTTCCCTGGTGGTGCAGTGGTTAAGAATCCGCCTGTCAATGAAGGGGCACGGGTTCGAGCCCTGATCCGGAAAGATTCCCTGATCCGGAAAGATGCCGTGGAGCAACTAACCCCATGTTCTACAACTACTGAGCCTGCAATCTGGAGCCCGGCTCTAGAGCCCACGAG